CGATTGGAAATAATTTGATATTATCGTTTTCTCTCGTAAAATTATTTTTTGGTGTTGTTATTTTGAATTAACAATGAACTTTAGAATGAAATTTTAATATTACTTTATTTCGATTGGAGTAAGAATCGACTGCTTTAAGGCATAAGATGTTGATTCTTCTCGATAGGAAATAATTAAATATTATTGTATTTCATCCTAAAATTAAAAGAATGTTATTTGCATGAGATCTTAAATTAAATTATACTCGAACTTGTAAATTTCATTGCAAAGACAACTAATTAATCGACTAGGTACCGATTTAGGGCGTTGTGGGGATACTAATTTTATTCCACACGTAACCGACTCCCAAACTCAAAGTTAGGTAACGCATATCGCAAATTTGTTGTTTTAATTAAAATTAATGTTTTTTAAAATGAAAAATACTTTTTGGGTGTCCAATCACACCTTAATCAAATATTAGTGGTGACTCCTCGAACCACGTTTTATTATTAACAAGTCACCAAATTATTTGAGACGATATCTTTTAAAAACCAAGTTTTAAAAATTAAATTTTCTTTTTAAATAAAAATCGTTTAGACAAACAGAATATTCAATATCGTGAAGAAGCTAATTGAGGAAATCAAGCAAAGTGATGAGATAATATTGTTTATTGATGAATTTCCCCTTCACATTTTGATTGGAGCAGGAGCAGCTGAAGGTGTCATTGATGCGGCCAATATCTTGAAGCCTGCTCTTGCAAAAGGTGAATTGCTTTGCAGCTTTGTAACCTCAATATAGGTTATGTATATAATTGTATAAACCGAATCACAAATGAACTGGCCTTGCTCACACACATTTGAACGCTCAGTTTGCAAGTTTGATTCCCCTCTTCCTTATTTCTTTGTAATTGATTTTTCATATTATCATCCAGTTGGTCGAAAAATATTATATTAAATAAATTAAAATTATAAAAAAAACTCTCTAATGAAATAGTGATATGTGTAAACATATGATTAGAGAGTAAATTTCTGGAATTAAATTAAAATTAGGATTAAATTGACAGAATGTGTAAATATTAAAGACCAAATTTTATAATTAAATCATTTTGGTTAACTGCCACATCACCTATTCCGTTAAATATTAACGACTAGTGGTTTGATTGAATGTGTTTAAATAATTGAATAACATGATTGACAAAATTTCAAAAATGATGGTCAAAATGAAAAAAAAGACAATAATTAGGTGGTTAATATATAATTTATCCAAAATAATATTATTGGTTAGAACAATCATAAATTTTAAACATAATTAAAAAAAATGAGTACAAATAAAAAGATTTCAATTCTTCGTAATAACTTGAAGACCTTGGACATTTGCCTTTTCTTTCGAAGCTTCAAGAATTGAAGACCTTGGATATTCATTAGACCAAAGTTGAGGATGTCCCTAAAGGCATGTGTAATTGTGTACGTTGGTAAATCTAAGGCATCTTGATCTTTAAGGCAGTTTGATACAGTTTTTAAAATATGACTTTCAAATGTCTTGTAAAAACGAAATTTTAAGAGTATTGTATAACAGTGTAGCTTAGAGTTTGAGAACATAATGTTGTAAATTAAAAATATAGCATTTAAATTATATTTACAGTTATATATGAATCATATCAATTAAAATTATAAAGTCTACAATAAATTCAAAAAGTTAATATTATATATGAATTATATAAATTTAAAAGAAAACAAAAAATAAAAAATATAAACAAAAGATAAAACTATAATAAAATATCTTTTATGTAGTTCACTATGAATATTTTAATATATAAATAATAAATTTTATTTATTTTTAAATAATTAAAATAAATTATTAAAAGTAATAAATTGATTGAAGTAGATAAGAAACATGATCTTTAAAATAATTATACAGAGTTTGGAACTCAATTATATTAAAAGTAGTTGTACAAACAAGTCAATGTTCCAATAAATTATAGACTTGGCTCATTAAGGTTCTATATTATACATGCCTAATAAGTAAATATTATTACTTTTTATTTTATTTTTTTGATAAATTAATCAAATTTGGGTGGCCGAAGATGACTTTTTTTTAATAATTGAATAAGTTTTTAGATTTGAAAATCCATCAGAATTTTTTATTTAACAAATTAATGAAATTTGTATTATGTACCTAAATTGTAATAACACTAAATTTATTTGATCATGATTAACATTAAAAAAGATTTTGCTTTTACAAACATGAAAAAGAGTGTTGATTCGTTGAATAACATTAATTTTAAAAAGCATAATTTTTGTGGTTTTTTTAATGTATTTTTTATTTGTTTAATAGGTTTCTTTTTTTAAAAATATTGTACCGCATTTTATCTCTCCTCAATATTTTATTTAATGTCATTTCTCTTGTTGACATTTATTTATTATCTTATTGATCTATTAATAATTTAGATTGTCGGGTTGATTGTTGTATATTGATAGGGATTTATAATTATCATATGTCAATCGTACTTGAGTTGTGATAAAATATATCATCATCATTATATTTATTTTTTATGTTAGTTTTGATGGAGTTTATCCTTCATAATCAATAATGATTTTATTTGTATCTTCTATATTTTGAGTTGTTTAGAAAATTTTTAACATTTTCATTGACGATTATATTTTTATTATTTATTCATTAGTTTGGACTATATAATGATTTTAAGGGAAATAAATGTTTAATGTGATTAATCCTACTTTAGTTTTTATTGTTTTTTATGAAATTATAATGCTATTATAATTTATCCTTATTTATTCAGTGAAATTAATTATTTTTATTAATAAAAACATAATTTCAAATGAACTCATAAATTCTAACTTCTCTTTATCACTTTATTTATCATTTTGCTGATATAAAGCAATGATCTAACAATAAAATAACTATTTCAAATAAAATTCATAAAACTTTAACTCCTCTATTCATAAATTTTATCGTATTTTATCTTCATTTATTCAAAAATAATAATTATTTTTATTTATAGAAAAATAATTTCAAATGAACTCATAAATTTTAACTTATCTTTATCACTTTATTTATCATTAACTGATATAAAGCAATATTGAGCTAATAATTAAAAAAAACTATAATATTTTAAATATATACATAAAATTTAACTCATCTATTCATAAATTTTATTGTATTTCATCTGTATTGTATCATATTGTGTGGAGTCTAACTATAATAAATACTTTAAATCCAAATATCATTTTCAAAAAAAATATAGTCTATCATGTAATATATATAAAGAGAGAGGTACATATGATGTTGTTATAAGGAACATGTGTATCATTTTATGTTAGAGACGGTAAATTTCTATAATTTTAAGAATTGATGAACTTATAAAATTTTAAGAAAAAAAAAATTATCAATCGTTTGTAATTGTAATGGTGGAGTTTTTTAAAGTGCATCATTGTGTGATTACTAAAGTATGTTTTTTTTTACGTATTTTGTTTGTAATTTTAAGAAAAAGTTACGTTAATTACATTTGATATCCACACAACGCGAATATATTATTTTAAAAAAAAATTCATTTAAATGAAGGGCGTTTGTACTAAAAAATAATATATATATATATATATATATAACACAATTATTTTAGAAAAATGAGGATGAGAGTAATACATATATTTGAGGTTAATTATCATGTTTGTTTCATAAGATTATTTTATTCTTTTTTTTTGACATCCAGTTTCAAGGTTTCGTCTTGACTAATTTGGACCGACCCGGGTCACACACTTGGCTTTGGTAGGTGAATCTCCGGCGGAGATTTTCTGCATACACAATGACTTGAACCTGAGACATTACTTAAGCGATATCAACTTGTTTACCACTTAAACCAACCCCGTTGGTAGATTATTTTATTCTACAACAGCTTAGTATAACGTTAAAAATGACAATATCAAGACATAATAAAAAATGCAATAAAAATCATCATATTTTTTATTGTGCTTAGAATTATCATGTTTAAACTATAAATTATGTTCTCTTAAACTTCTCTTACTTTGTGGCTTTTGGAACACTTGTAAATATTTACAACTGCAACATTGGTTGGGTATAAAACAAATAGTCATTAACTTCCTTTTCCTCATTTTTGCGTGCCTATTTCTAGCCAACGGAGATAGATTGGACATTTGTTATCGATTCATGAGCTAAATTTTATATAGAAAATTAAATTTTTTATTTGATAATTTAAAATTCATCGATATTTATTGATAGGATAAATAAAGTGTGTTTGTTGTTGATCATTCATTTCTTTTAATTTAAATAGAAAATTGTAGCATGTGATAATACGATGATTGACTAATAATTTCCTTGATAAAAAGGTAAAGGAAAATCTTAAAAAAGAATTCAAACGAAGAAGATGAAGAAAAATCATTTTCTCAATGTGAAGAAGGCAAAATACAAGAGTTTTTAAAGCTCGGTTCTCTCTCTTCACAACATGGCAAAATATAATAGTTGGATTTCTTTATTTGGTTCCTAGATAAATATTTTTTTTTATTAATTTAGGATATGTATAAGACAGTATATGTTCAAATATAACTTTTCAATCATTTGACATTGAATGTTCAAAATCTTACATGATGCTTAAACTTGAGACCTTAAGAAATAAAAACAATTCATTTACGACAAAGTCACCTGATGTTCGCACCCCAGATCAACATATCAACCTCAAACAAAGAGAAATTTTGCCAATCGTATACATTTTACTTGTTTTTTTATGACAATTTTGATACATTAAGAGTTAAATGAATAAACCATTGACAATATGGGATGGAAGAAAGATAAAATAGAAATAAAAATGCAAATGCAAATCACAGTGCATATTGCTATTATTCTATGGACTATGGCAGACTTGAAGCATAAGTGGAATGCATACTCAGCTTCGACTAAACGATGACTGCAATTAAGCTATGTTCAACTTGTCCATATTGGATCCATTAAGGTGAAGCGATGGCCAGAAAAAAGGGTACTCTAACCCCAAACTAAGCAACCAGATTCAGGGAAGGGACAGTGCCAAGTGACTCAGCCACATTATCGACTGACATGGATCCATTTTTGTATCTGTCAAACAAGATGATCAAAAACAGCATTTGGCAACACATTATTAGATCTGAAATTGGAACATTTGAGTACAATAGACATATCCTATTCTCTATGTTGGTTTAAAACACTGAGCTTTTAGCACTGCCATACAGATTTTGACCCTCAAATCCAAGGCCATTACTAGTCTGGTACTGCTCAGCTGATGTAACCGAAACATAATCGTTACGGTCCAATTTTCGAATGCTGGGAAGCTTCTGCTTCAATGCAAGAACATGAGCAGATTGATTGTGTGAAAAACCAGTGGTGGTGGTGATATTGAGTGTTGTAATATCATGGATGCTTGGCCTCTTCTTATCTTTCCCTCCTGAAATCTGCCTCTGGTAGTACTTTTGAGCATGGCTAGCAACTTGTGTTGGAGTCTTGGATATCACAAAGTTCCTTGATATGTTTCTCCAATCCCCTTTACCATACTTCATTAGTCCCATCAGAAACCTCCTACATCATCATCATGAAACAAGGGTTACAAATTTTCTCACTAAACAAACACACTGTAATTTCAAATCACCAGGAAAGTTACCTGTGTTCTTCCTCAGTCCATGGGACCCCTTTCTTCCTCTCATGATCAGCCCCTTTAGCCACACTGGATCTCCTCCTGTAAGCATCAGAATCATGATGATCAACCATTTCTGATGTAAGGTAACCTGGAATTGGAACCCTTCCAGATTCAATATCAAAGACATCTTCTTCCAGTTCTCTGTACTGTTTAATCACATCAGCAACAGTTTTGCCTGGAATCATTGCTGCAACTTTTATCCATCTATCAGGAACATCTTCACCATATATTGCTAAAGCGCTCTCAAATCTTTTGTTTTCTTCTTTGGTCCAATATGTAATATCTTGATCAAACAAACCTAAATTTGACATGAAAGAAGTTGCAAACGAAGCTTCCATAGGAGAAAAAAAGGAAATTCTGAACTAAAAAAGACAGCAATTTTAACATGAAATAAACGTGGAAGATGCTTAAGAGAGGAACAAACTCAGAATCGTTTTCTTGGGGGATCAAGAATCAATCTTTTTTTTTTCTTTTTTTCAAGAGCATAAACTGAAGAATTAAAAAGACATATTTTGAAGAATCCAGAAAATCATGAAAAAGAACAAGGCAGGAAAGTCTTGGGGATTTTTTTATTCTTTATTTATGTAAAACAAGCTGAAAGTCCTGGAGAATGGTAAACAAACCATGCTCACATCTTAGAATTTATACCAAAAACAAAGCAATGAAGTTCGGGAATAAAGGAAATAATGAAAGATAGTTGGACAAAGTAAAGACCCAATTGAACGAAATATATGATTCTTTAGATACTTAATAGTAATGAAAATAGAGGGGGGAAATAAGTTTCTTTCTATGGTTTGCTGGTAAAAAAGAAGAAGAAGAAGAATCTGATCCAAGGGAAATAAGTTTCTTTGTCTGGATTGGATTGAATTCAATTGAAGTGAAGTGTTACGGTTAAATACCCTTTGATATATTATGGAGTATACTCGACTTTTTATGTCATTTAGTTTTTTTTTTTAATTTCATACATTTATTTATTTTTTAACAATGACAACTGAATTTCATTAATAATGGAAGGAATTAAAATTACAACGCATCAAAATATAGAGAGAAATTTGGAGACAATAGTATCCAAAATGCTCATACAAAAGTAAAATATTAAACCTAAATATATGAAAAAAAATAAAATCTTTTATTGAGAATGACGAACAATATCAAAATTCAAAACCTTCATAAAAACTCCTTCTCTCTGTCGAATGAGACGCTTTACGAAGTAATAAAAGAGTGGTGAGCGAAACAAACAATCTGACAGGCTACTTCGCTACACAATTCTAATTACATCGACAAACAACCTTTTACAAAAAGAGGAGATCTGACCATACGTGACCACCGACAAACCAATCAAAAAATTTAGGTCAAAGAGAATTAATAGTCATCGATGGTTGGAAACCAACATTAAAATTGGTGTCACCGCCGGCTAAACAAAAGTCAAAGAGAAAGAAGAAGACGAAACAAAAATATTAAAATAAAATTAGGTTAAAAGAAAGTAGTCATGCATTTACTTTTTAATTGTTAATTGGTTTACTTATTTTTGTGATAATATGAATGAAGGTAAACTAGAAAAATTGATTTTGTTTATTTGATTTGATAAAATTAGGTGAAAAGTGACCCTTAAGCCTATTTTAATTATATATTAGTAAAATAAAAAAAAAATTCATGTCACAAAAATTGTTAATAAAATAAATTAGAGTGATTAAAATAAAAACAATTTGAGAGTTGAGTAGTTAAATTAAAAAAATAAACTTTAGTGAAGAAAATAGGAGTAAAAATATAGTTGAGTGATAAATGATGTAATTTAGCCATAAAAATATATTTTCGTTAAGTATTTAATGGTGGGGGTACTAAAATGAATCAAAAAATAAATATTAGGTATGATTTTAAAACAAATGAAAGTTTAGGTACAAAAACGAAATGAAACTGACAGTTTAGATACTAAACGTGTAGTTTACCCTAAAAAATATGAACTATATATACATATTAGATATGGTTATAGAAAATTGTTTAAATTAAAAGAAAACAATATCATAATATTATAAATATTTAACATTAAATTTAAATAGAAACTCGAACAACTCGACTCGATTGAACACTTGTTACATTTTTAATATGTCCTTAGTGTGTTTGTGGAAACTGAGTAGCCAATCAACAAGAAACTAAAGAAGAAGAAAATAGGCAGGAGGCTATGTGAGGTCTTACGAGGAAAGAAAGGAGTTTTCAGGCTCTGTTATTTTTGTGCTTCTTGGAAATCGATTTTCAATTTTGGCTTTGTTAACAGGCAAAGTTATTATTCTCATACTAATTGTATTCACCCTACTCCTTCACTTGGTTTGTCTAGCGCCACCTAGGGCACTGAGGACGTAAGCGCATTGCTGAACCTCGTTAAAATTCTTGTGTTCTTTCGTTTTCTTTACCCGATTATTCAACAATTGGTATCAGATGTCAGGAGCCAAATTCAAAGTTGTGAAATTCAATGGTCAGGGTAACTTCGGATTATGGCAAACAAGGGTAAAGGATCTGTTGGCGCAGTAAGGGATCCTAAAGGCTTTGCGACCTACAAAGTCAGCGTTGATGGAGGAAGATGATTGGGAAAAATTACAAAAACGAGCGATAGGAACCATACGATTATGTTTGGCAGACGAGGTCATGTATCATGTCATGCATCTGTCGTCTCTAGATAAAATTTGAAAGAAGTTGGAAAGTCAGTTTATGTCCAAATCCTTAACGACTAAACTGTATCTAAAGCAGCGGCTGATGGGCTGAAGATGCAAGATGATCTTGATTTGGCGCAACACGTGAATGTCTTCAATCAAATCATTTCTGATTTGGCTCGGCTTGATGTGAAAATTGAGGATGAAGACAAAGCGATGATTCTGTTGTATTCGTTGCCTCCCTCTTATGAACACATGGTGACTACTCTTACATATGGGAATGAAACTATCAAAGTTGAGGAGATTACTGCAGCCTTGTTGGCTCACAACCAGCAGAAGCAGAATGTAGGGGAAAACTCTCAAGCTAATAGCTTATATGTCAAGGGTAATCGAGACCATGGACGGAAGCCAGAGAAGGCAGGGTCTGGGAAGCAAAATTTCAGATCCAAATCTAGGGATAAGAAGATAATTCACTGTTACAAGTGCAATGAGGTGAGACATATGATGCGAGACTGTCCGAAGTTGAAAAAGCACACTGATGAGAAGTGTGATGACTCATCCAAGTCTGTGAATGTGGTCGAGGATGATAATTCTGATTGTAGTGAGGGTGATATGCTCTCTATTTCAACGACTCTATTGACTGATACTTGGATTCTTGATTCTGGATGTTCTTATCACATCACGCCAAATAGGGAATGGTTTTCGACATATAAGTCGGTTAATTCTGGTTCTGTTTATTTGGGTGATGATCAATGTTGCAATATTGTTGGTATTGGTGATGTTAGAATTAAGAAGTATGATGGTTCTGTTTGGACGTTGTTTGGTGTTCGACATATCCCATATTAGAAGAAGAATTTGATTTCTTTGGGCACTTTGCACAAGAATTGTTTTATCCCTAAGGCTGATGAGGATAGGGAAACCATTCGGATTGTTAAAGGAGATTTGACTGTGATGAAAGGAAAGATGAGTGCAGGGAATATTTACATATTGTTAGGGAGTACCGTTGTATGTGGAGTTCATTCTGTTGAGTCCTGTGATGATACCATCAAACTGTGGCATATGCGTTTTGCTCATCTTAGTGAACGTGGTATGTCTGAATTATATAAAAGAAATTTGTTGCATGGTGTTAAAAGCTGTAAGCTCGATTTTTGCAAGTATTATGTTATTGGTAAATAGACTAAAGTTCGTTTCAAGACTGGGAAGCACACAACTAAATGAATTCTTGATTATGTGCATTCTAATGTATGGGGTCTTCCACGACATCGTCTTTGGGTGGATCTAGGTATTATGTTAATATTATTAACGATTTTTCACGAAAAGTTTGGATGTATTTTTTGAAATAGAAGTATAACGTTTTTGAGAAGTTCAAGCTGTGGAAAGCTGAGGTAGGAAACAAAACAAGATGAAAAATTAAGTGTTTACGGTCTGACAATGGTACGGAGTACACAGATTCATAGTTTCTAAACTTCTGTAAGGAGCAATGGATTAAGAGACATTTTACAGTGCACAAGACACCACAATAGAATGGTGTTGCGGAACGGATGAACATGTCGTTGAATGAAAGAGCCAGATGTTTGCGGTTGAATGTGGGGTTTCCCAAACACTTCTGGGTTGAGGCCATTAACATGGCGTGTTATCTTATCAATAGATCGCCAAGGGTATCATTGGCTGGGAAAGTTGTAAAAGTGGTATGGATTGGTCATGATGTTACTTTGGATCACTTACGGATTTTTGGTTGTCCTGCTTATGTGCATATACCTGATGATGAGAGATCCAAACTTGATGCAAAATTGAAGGAGTGCATTTTTCTGAGTTACAAGACAGATGTCAAAAGATTCAAGTTATGAGATCCAGTTACGAAGAAAATTGTGATCAGTAGAGATGTTGTTTTTGATGAACATCCCATGTTGCAGCAGAAGAAAGACACGACAGTGGTGGATTTTGAGCAGTTTCCAATTGAGAAAACAGATACTTCTCAACCGAATTCTGGTGGTCCCGCTACGGTTGATTTGCATGATTATAGTCTCGCCAGAGATAGGGTGAGATAGATGAATATAAAGCCTTCGAACAGATTGGGTTTTGAAGACTTGGTCTCTTTTGCACTTACTGTTAGCAGTGATGATTCGATTACTTTTCATGATGCTATTACTAGTCAGGAAACGACGAGTGGATGGCTGCCATGGTTGAGACGATGGAGTCTTTGAATCACAATCGCACATGGGAGTTACTTCTCCTTCCTGAGGGTAAGAAGCCTATTGGTTGCAAATGGGTGTATAAGAAAAAACCAGCAGTAACAGAAAAAGAGGGGGAGAAGTTCAAGGCTCGTTTAGTAGAAAAGGGTTTTTCACAGCAGAAAGGAGTTGATTATGATGAATTATTTTCTCCTATGGTCAGACACACTTTAATCCGAGCAGTACTTGCATTGGTGGCTAGTTGGGATTTGCATTTAGAGTACATGGATGTGAAAACTACTTTTTTGCATGGTGATTTAGAGGAGCAGATCTACATGCAGCAGCCTAAAGGTTTCACTCAACCTAGAAACGAGCATTTAGTTTGCAGATTGAAGAAATCTTTATATGGGTTGAAACAGTCTTCGAGACAATGATACAAATAGTTTGACTCCTATATGATCAAGATTGGCTACAAGCGATGTGAGTATGATTGTTGTGTCTATATTAAGAGCCTTGATGATGGTTCTTTTATTTTCTGTTATTGTATGTTGATGATATGTTAATTGCTGTGAAGAACATGGATGATGTTATCGGCTTGAAAACTTTATTGAGTCAGGAATTTGATATGAAAGAGTTAGGTGATGCAAAGAAAATTATTGGAATGGAAATTTTCAA